TGGATTGTATTCAACGATCTGGTTGAAGCTCAGGTCGTTGGAAGTCAGCCACCCCTGACTGACAGCTGGATCTTTGCGTGGCTAGCCAGGGAAGATGCGGTCGACTTAGGACTTGGCAGGTTTGGACTCTTGGGCACCGACACCTTTCCCAGGACCATTGCCACGCTGCATCAGCAACACGCCATGCACATGGAGCGATATCCTGAGGCGGTCCTCACTCGGCTTCGTTCTCACTGCAGTGTCTGCGGCAAGCTGATCATCTCGCATGAAGCCCTATGCCGTCATGTGAGCCGTCGACACCCAGAACTGAGTGAAATGCTGAAGATAGATGATTTTTTTGCAGACTCACCAAGAGACTGCAAACATCCCGTGCCATGGTTGCACGGCATGTCCCCTGCTGTCCTCTCGACCTCTGCAGCTTTTCCACATGTGCAGAGTTGATTTGAATGTTAGGATTGGGACAGAGTGGAACAGACGCCAACAAGCACACTCTGGACCCATGTTTTCGCCAGGCCGCACCATGGCCGAGGAAGGCCTCACCTTGGGCCACCTTTTCAGAACTGCCTAGTGCTGATGTTCTCCGCTGACTAGAGCAGCGATTGTGAACCAGCGTGATCGATTTGGATGATGCCTGTGTTCTCCCTGGGATCCAGGACTGTGAACCGGCACACTTGATTTCTGACCGCTAGAACTTGTGCAGCTATGCTTCACGGACCGCCATAGCGGCTTTTGGTCCATGGATGAATTTTTTGACCTCCGCTTACAGCGCACCACGGTGCTTAGCCTGATCACAAGATCAGCCAGGAGAAGAAAAATCCCTCCTGAGCCCTCGCAATCCGGAGACTGCTTCGGAGCGCCCGAAACTGAAAACTGAAAACTGAAAACTATCTATCTATCTACCTCTATCTATCTATCTATCTATCTATCTCTATCTATCTATCTATCTCTATCTATCTATCTCTCTCTCTATCTATCTCTATCTATCTCTATCTATCTCTATCTATCTCTATCTATCT